ACATGGCCTAATTTCGACACTGCTATGGCATACTTACCGCAGGAGTCATATCGTCATCTTCCGGTATCATGACATCCCCCTCTTCAAACTCTTCATCAGAAAAGTCCGAACTACTACGGGATTTTTCAACCTCATACGATATATCCGTACTTCCATCATTTTCGGGACTCTGCACAGAAAATGAGTGAGATGCCTTTTGGGAGTAATGGCGAAACATTCTTTGCATACCTCAGCGCAGTTGTCGTATTCCTGAGATGAGTAATTCTCCCCATTCTGTTCTTCCGCCTGTTCATCTTTCTTCCGACAAAGATCATTAACGAAGTTCTTTATAAGAAGTCTGAAACAAGTCATAAAAGACAGATAATTACGGGGTACTACACGATAACACTATTCAATGAAAAACTGGACAATAACTCTTCAAAAGACGCCAAAGAAGCTAATATGCGGTCATAATACGCGAAATCGCAACATTTTCACCTGAGACAATGCCAAAAGATGAGATTACAAGCTTTGGAGAGACTGAGATCAAACAAAGCAAAAATATCATTTACAACACGAACTGATAAGGAGTTTACCCGAAAAACATCATATACGTCATGCGCAAAACAAGCAGACAATAGCAGAAAGATCATGGAATTCTAATGCAAATAACTGCAGCACCTTTTTCTCATGGCCACACCACCACAGCCTGCCTTCCTTCTTTCTGTCTTGTCGCTTACTTTGTCGATAGCCAAGCTGCACAGATGTTTGAACACTTCCTCGTTCAACATCGCAAATGAATCCATTCCTACGACTTACCTGAAAAATAAACCTAGAGTAAGAAATAAGATTTAATGACAACGCAAGCGACTTTAAGCGATCATATCCACAACGAAAAAAATTGAACAAGCAAAATTTATTCCATTCATGTGATCCATTGACATATACTTGAGATTAGCGATATATCATGATATGATAGAGCGGATCCCGAAAAGAAATGTAGCCTCACAAAAAGGGATATAACATTCTTGATACAATTCCTCGTAGTCTTCGAATGTGATAGAATCAAGAGCGGCTTTGCAAGAAAACGCTTCAGAATTTCACAGACAAGATCTAAGTCCATAACAACTGAAAAACCTCCAAATTTCGTTTGTAAGATGATGTATGGCTTGCCTGTGAGTCCAGAAACATGACGAAAGTTAGCATATGCAAAAGTATAAGATCAAAGATGAGGAGTTTACAAGATAGATCGAAGGCTGATTTCAGAATGTTTCGTATGCTAAATCTTTATCCGTATCCTAATCTCAGCACCAATAAGCCAGTCGTTGAATCTCGTCACTGTATGAAGTCAGAGGAATTAGCAGCGAACACTTTGCTCTCCTTTACAGAAAGGCTTCAACGCTATAAATAGAGGCAATAAAACCTTGTATGTCCTTTGCTTTCACACGAATTCAATTTTGCTCCCTAAGTTCCCTGCTGCTGCAAAACTTAATTTTTACGTTCAAGCAAAACTCAATATTTGATTCCATAGATGCGACCAGCCTAATCATGATCACTGATCTGCTCCTATACTGCTTTCAAATCACATTGCTTAAATCTTATGTTCCCGCAGATAAATTTGACATGGAGCGTGATAAATGATATGATAAATTATGATAAATGATATGATAAATTATGATAAATTAAAACAAAAGCAGTAAAATTTGACAACGATGATGACTTGACTTAAATAAAAATGTTGAAAAAGTATTACTGCTCTCAAGTAACTAAAAGCGACAGCGACGTAAGCGTTTAACAAAGAATTACCAAATATTAACGGATCACATCCATTTTAGGTCAGCCCGAGTAAGTCACTGCGAAAGCTTTGCGTATCAAAATACTCTGCATAGAAGGAACCCTCGCAAGCAGAACAACAGCTGCCTGCGAATATGCCCAACACAAAAAGCTGTATTTGCCCATACGCAGCAAATTACAACCAATAGTTACTGCAGAAGATCTCAATATGTTAACGTGGGTCACTACAAAAGGAACGAAATCCAAAGCTGATCTAGGAAGATGTCTAATGCGGAGATCGGAAACTGATTGGGTTCCAGAAATCACTGAGGAAAAACTAGAATGCCAGTTCGAATGTGAAAATTGCACACTGATTGAAGACTTTCCGCGTGACTTCCCATCTCGATTAAAATGCTTGAAATTCAAGTTCAGCGAAGATGGAACTATCGTAGGTCCATGACCTGCAAAACTTTTGAAAACAAAAAGCAGTTGTCTCAGAAACTTCAGATATAAATTTCAAACTTATAAAGCAACTTTTCTCAATGGTGCACTTCTTTTGAGCTTGATTCTATTCATTTTAGAATCAAAAGCAGAACCTGAGGCTTGAGCTATCTGTAGGCTTGTGAACGTGGAGCACAGCGCCAAAGTAGAAGTCACGAATAAGAGTATGAATTTCCCGCAAAACAATACGTCCTTGGATCTTCTCTCATCTGGCAATTGACTTCCATCTGTAGTGCTAAATTTCTCAACTGGGCACATGCTGTGAGAGGGCTGCCGGAGGAGTTTAGCTTCCACCTCAAAAAGTTCGATATCAAAAATTGGAAGGGGATTGGCTAGTAAGAAAATGAGTTTACTTCCACCTTAAAAAGTTCGATATTAAAAACTGGAAGGGGATCGGCTAGTAAGGAAATGTACCTGTCAGGAAACCTAGTTCTTGAAGTACACTTAGACTGAGCAAGGCAAAAAAGTGCGGTGAGGAACAGAAGCTTTTAACGTTATAACGGAATTCCATGAAGTTCCTACGCACAGATCAAGGATTCGTTTTTCATGCGCAAAAGCAAAAACCACAGCCTCAACAAAACAATGCTAACGCTAACAACATGTTACGGCACGAATCTACAAAATCCAAAGATAACGGTAGAGCAAGAAAGACAAATTTCGACGCATAATTCAAGCAGACTATTCCATACAAAACAAGGTAGACTGGCAACCTAATATACCTAGTTTACAATCTGAAAGCTTGAACAGTACCGATCGGCACCGCTAAAGAAAATTGCTAGACTTCAAATATTACTGTGGAATGAGAGGAAAAGTTCAAGCACTACATCTAGCTGCACGTAATTTTCAAGCACACTAATAAGGTAGGTAGCAATAACGCGGATGTAGGTGAAGTGTATTGCGCAAGAGTTGCTACCAGCGCTTATGCACTGCTGTTAATTGACGGCTTAGGAATTCCTCGTATTTGCATGCAGAACTGATATCCTACAAACTACTCTTCAACAACCTGTCTAGATTTAACATCAGCAACACTACGTAGCCCAATTTCTGAACCGATTAAAAGGGACAGGACTATGACGCACGGGATTTAATAACACATCCACGACGAAAATGATGAAATTCACAGTCGAACTGGCCGTACCAGTTCTATGAGAGAAGTGATGCACCCAGAATGCACTTTACGACAGAGCGCTATTCTCGACTCGAACGAATCAAAGGACAAGCGTTGATGTCGCGATGAATCATCGGGCGCCGCGTACTCTATCCGTACGGCGATAGAGAAAAGGGCTTG